GACCACATTTTCCCCTATGAAAAAAGTGTGGGCCCTGAGAGCTGCCAGGGAGGCCCTTCTCTCACTCCTGTCACCATCACAAGCATGATTGGAGGGGATAAGAGTGAGGGCCTTCTCAGTGGTGGTGTTGCACCTCAGCAGGAGTTCACCTTGCTTACAGCACTCACCAAGAAACCAAATGTGGTAATAAACAGTTTATTGAAAAAACTCATATTAAAAGGGTCAAAGGCACCTTAAGCAAAATAAAGGGTAAAAATTTGAGAGCTAATAAAGAAAGCAATAGGTACATCCAGAAAACAATGATTAAAACATAAGCATTAATCCAAGAAACATGGAGCACAACATGAGCATGAATCCAAACATAAATCGATAACACAAGAAGCAAAACTTGACCAGGAATCTTGGGTCTTAAACTAAAGCATGAACCAGGGATGAGACAGGAGTTCCTCACTCCAGTAGCAATGTGGCTTGATCTAAAATCCTAGCAGTTCTCTCTCTAATTTAACGACTGCAAAACATGAACACATTCCTTTGACCTTGAGAGGTCAGCTTCTGCCTTTCTTTCTCATGGGTTTTTTGCACCTGAATCTCTGCCTCTCAGAAGCAGCCTGCTATCTCTGTCTACAATGCATCAAAAAATTGTCCATGCCAGCAAAATCCATCATAATTTTTTTTGGCAGAAAGATATCCCCCCCCCCCCCCACACACACACACACACACAGCCAACAGAGCCCTGTGCATACCTAAGTGTAATGGTAAATCTGGCACTGCTTGTGAGGAAGCTTTTGTGTGTAAGAGTCATATTATAGGAAGCTTTTGAAGATTCTTTAAGGTTGATCTCACGGGGTTCCAAAATCCAGAAACAGTAATGATGGAAACAGCACAGTCTTCCAGTTGTTATTAAACTACCACTTTCATCACTCCTTGCCAACATAGCCAATCTTACTCAACTCCAAAGCTGTCCATGTGAAGCAGGTGAATACAGCACTGAATGAAACATGCAGAATAATCACAGGATGTCTCAAATCTCCACCAACATGTTGATAGACACTGTAAGCTAGCTGGCATTGCCCCCCAATGTGAGATGGGAAGTTGCTGCCAATTGCAAGAGAAATAAGTTTGAACACTGTGAAAGCCACCCACTGCATGGCTATCATCCTCCCAGTAGACTTAAATCAAGGAAAAGTTTCATGAGAACCACCACTCCTCTTAATGTTCCTCCAGCAACCGCAAGAATATCCCTATGGGCAGCAAAATCAGGCAATTCCAACTGGATGGCCCCCCACGAGGGTCTTCTTCCTGGAACAAACAAAGAATGGACAACTTGGAAGTCCCTGAACAGACTCAGAAGCGGACTGAGCAGATCAAAAGACAACCTGGCTAAAGGGCACTACCTAGAAGAATCCTCCATCTTGTGCAACTGTGGAGCAGAGCAAACAACTCCACAAATGTATGCTTGCCCACAATGCCCTGCCTCATGCACAGAGGAGGAACTGTTTAAAGCTACAGACAATGAAGTCGCTGTTGCCCATTTTTGGTCTAAAATTATTTAGCCACTTGTGTTCCTTCTATTTTATCAGTTTTATACTTGATTCTTTATGCAATGCTTTTGATACGAAATAAATAAATCATAGCCAATGGTGAGGCATATCGGGAGTTGCAATTCAACACAATATTGGAAGAGTTTTATACTTTTTTATTCCAATAAAACTTCATATATATATATATATATAGAGAGAGAGAGAGAGAGAGAGAGAGAGAGAGAGAGAGCATGTGACTGTATGTGGATCAGGGACTGGTTCAGGAACAACCATTTGACACTGTGTGTAAGGTTTTGGGCATGACCTTCCTTGAAGACAGTTGTCCCACAAGTCCCATATATACTCATGTATGAGTTGACCTTATGCATAAGAGCCACCACAAACTACAGGAAAGCGGGAGCGAGCTTGCGCTTGCGCTCACTCTGAAGCCCCGCCTTTTTTTCCCCGAGGCTGCTCTCTCTCTCTTGCTAGCGTGCCTGTTTTCCCTTGCTAGGCCAGCGATGTGAGCGTACTCTCCCTGTTGAATTCTGTCAACAGCGAGAGTACGCTCGTATCGCTGGCCTAGCAAGGGAAAACAGGCACGCTAGCAAGAGAGAGAGCAGCCTCGGGGAACAAAAGGCAAGGCTTCGGAGCGAGCGCAAGCGCAAGCTCACTCCCGCTTTCCTGTAGTTTGCGGCGGCTCTTAGAGAGAGGAGCACCCTAAAAAGCAGCAAACTTTGTGCATGCAGCTTCTTTTAATTCATATGGTAAGTGTACATACATTTTTAGACTGTCATTTTCTGCAGGACTTGAATAAAAATGAAAAGGGCAGAGCTAGACAGCTTCCTCACCTTGTGTTCATCCTATCTGGGATATTTGCATAGAAGGGATATCAGACAAGTATCATTTATGAGGTAGGTGCACTGAAATGAATGTGCAAAGCTACTAGAAGAGAAGGCAGAAGAGGAGGACATGGAACTATAGCCTCAGAGAGTCTTCCAAATATCTGTCTCCAGAGATGCAGTCAAAGATCAATGCAACGGAGAAAAATAGAAATCTTGACAATAAATGTGGCAGCTGCATTTGACTTCAACCAAATGTTGACCCATTTCCACAATTGTAAGAAAATATTGGAGGCTACAGAGTAAAATTCAATCTTTCTTATATCATTGCACCTACTGATGAGTGAAAGTGCCAGGGGTACTTTTCAATATCCACAGGGGAAGCCATGAGAAACAGTAAGTCCAGAAAATGACAGAAAAATTATTTAGGGTTCAACTACTCCAGTAGTGTTCAAACTGTGGGTCCCAGGGTGTTTTGGCCTACAACTCCCAGAAATCCCAGCCAGTTTACCAGTTGTTAGGATTTCTGTGGGCCCCAAAACCTCTGGGCCCCACAGGTTGAGAATCATTGCTCTTCTCTGGAGAATCAATGCAATTTGAGACAACTTTCATTGCAATTGCTCAATGCTACGGAATAATGGGAACTGTAGTTTTGCATAGCCTTTAGCCTTCTCTGCCGAACAGTGCTGATGCTGGTACTTCACCAAAGTACAACTCCTGTGATTCCATAACATTGCATCATGACAAAATGGTATCAGATTGCATTACTTCTACAGCATGGATGCACTCTTAGAAGATTTGCATCTTCTTGTGTTTCACATTCCTTGTGCTCACTTTTCATATTCTGGCTCTAATTTGGTACTTTACAGCACCCTTTCCTTGCTTGGTACCTTTTGGATGTCTTGGGCAATAACTCTCATCATCCTTGTCCTTCTCTGAGAGAGGCAAATGTAATGGTAGCCCAACATATCTGGTGGTTACAAGGACAAAAAGAGTGCATATATTTTATATAAATATTGTTTTAGGCCAAAAACTGCAACTTTTTCCTTTTCCTTTTCTCTCTCTCCTGCCCACATCACATAAGGTAAAACACAATTAAGATAAAAATACAAGAAAACAAAACAAAGCAAACCCATCTGTTCTCCCTCTAATCGATCCCGTCTAGTAGGCAAAGCAACAACTTTAGCTGTGCTCTTTAAATTCTGATTATACAAATGTACAGCAAATGCCATCATGTTTACATGCTGATTCCTATCACCCGTCCTTAGCAATTCTAAAGATCATTTGGAAATTAAATTCTGAAAACACAAAGAGAGAATGAACAAACATGTGGGTTAGTACAATAGAATTCAGATTTCCCTGTTTAGTAAACCTGCTTAGCAATGCATTAATATTCCCACAGAAATGCATGCCTAGGGCACATCAGCTTAGAGCATTGGGAGTGGGGGAAATTACTGAAAAATAAAGATATTGAATATTTAAATAAGTTTAATTGACCTAAGTGTTTGAAGTGGCAACTGTAATAATATCCATTCACACACACACACTCACATGTGATATATTGAACCTACAAGCTGTTGCTCAAGGTACCTGCATCAAATACACTATGGACCCTTCCAGATAGCAGGAAAGTGTAGGTGAAAATGGGTTGAAGTAACCCATTTTTTGCCCTCACTGGAGTCCCCACAGCCCACACCAAACCCTGAATTTTCCCTCCTGGGTAGTCAGATGCAATACCGATTGTTTGCCACTTGCAAATCCCAAATTTAGACCCTAAAATTTACCAGAAAGCAGCTGGCAGGTACGGAGCCTGCTTGTAAAGTTCTCCTGGCAAGCTAAAATGGCACCCTAACTGGCACCCTACCCACAGGCCCCATACCCCATTAGATGTTTCAGGAAGATCAGTGTCTAATGGGGTATCAAATTAATTTGGGACAAATTGGGTTTACCTGGTTTGTCCCAAATTAATTCTCTTTTACCAGAGGCATTGTTTGGATGTCTCTGGTAAATGCCCAACAGGGCTTACATTTTGGGCCCTTTCTGGAAGGGTTCTTAGGCAGCAATAAGATTTAGGATGTCAATGAAAGCTGAAAAATGTGAATAAAAATTGCTATTTTCATTAATTGAGAGAACACCTCTCTAGGAATCTCTAAGTCCTACAGAGTACGGTCATCTTCCATCATAAGTTTATTCTAGAATTGTGGTGGAGCACCAATGACCTCATCACATGCAAGATCAGCCCCCCCCCTCCCCCAATTCCACACACTTCTAAAACAGTTAATAGACAAAGTAGCACAGATCCCTTCATATGACACAAGCAGATTTCTGCCCGTCATCCATGCTACTTTGTCTGTGAAGTGTTTCAGAAGTGTGGGGAAATTAGAGAGGTGGGGAAAATTGAGCCAGGGAGAAATCATCTTCTGAGCTCCCAATGTGCATGGAAATGGGAGAAAGCAATGATTAACATGTGGGATGGGATCTTTAAGAACGATCCTTTATGCCTCCTTGAGAGCAAGAGACTTGAGAGAAATAGTTGGGCCAATTCCAAAGCAAAACTGGCTGCAACAGTTTACATGCAACGGTTTACATGGCCACCAGAGACCCATGTTCCCCATCTCTCATGTTCAGGGATACTCACCATCTCCTCCCATTCTCCTCATCATGGCAGTTTCTGGGCATGTCATAGGTCTTGCTGGTTGCTCACTGCCTGGAGTGACATCAGCCAGGGCCCTAGATTGATCAGGGAATTGAAGAAAATAAAAAGTTGTATCATGGTTAATTAAGTTTAATAGAGCAGATCTATTTTACATTATCTGTAAATTCTACAGGGATATTCTTGCTATATTTTGGCACAATGCTTATTTTAGTGTTATTCTTTAGCTTTACTTTATTTTTTGCTAACATGTTTTCTGTGCTTGCTCCTTGTCTTGTGCTTGTAAACAAAATGGAGCTTCTCCATCTTCTGCAACCAATTACAGCATATTCCCTTAATTGTGAGACCAGTACCCATGGTTTCACTTACCCTTGTCCGACAAAATATGTCTTCTTCAGAAACTTGCTAGATGCTAAGGCTATTCTATAATATGCATCTGTCAGAAGTTACCACTCTAGAAATTTCCTAGGTCTTCCAACGCAGACATCATTCCTTTCAAGAGGGTTCACTACTATCCATGGGTTCCTGTTTCTATAGTAAATTCCGGAACATATCTCTCATGGCTACAGAAGTCTATTTGATTTCTGTGTTGGCCATCAGGTGATGTCCATGTGTCCATTCTCCTCTTTACTTTTCATTTCTTTAGTTTGAAAAACACTTTAAAAATATAGAACTAGTCAAATTTGTCAAAACCTCCTTCAAATGTTTTAGGAGCAACAACTAAATATTTCTGGTTTCACTAAAAAGGGGAACAATATCACTACTCTGATTTGAAAAAATGCCCTTGTTCCCCTAAAATGTAAGGTTACAGGTAATAACATTCCTTTATATAAAATGTTCTCTGCAAGCTCTGGTTCAAATAAGGTTCAACTGTCTGTTCAGTTAGTAAAATGTGGAGGAGGTTCATTTTCTTTTTGTTTTCAGCCTCAAGCAGCAAAAGACCTCCAGTATTTCAAATTAGAGAAGAATGTGGCATTCCCAAATAACAGCACACTCCATTCCTTTTAAAAAGAAGGCAGTGGCTATTGGCAGCATCGATGTCCCTTTTCAAGGTTTTACTGTCAATTGTAAAGGAGCTATCCAAGGAGAAAACTCATTGTGGGGATTTCATTTAGCAACTTGGATTAAATGTAAAGTATGGACTAAAATCCAGAGATGATTCATCACATCACTAACATTGAAGCACTAATGAATACAGATACCAATGGAATCAGAGAGGACTGTGTCTACAGAAAAATTAGAATGTTGTTCTTGTTGCTGTTGTTGTTATTGCTTTATATCTTCAAGTATTTTCCAATTTTGGGGGTTTTGTTGGCTAGGATTTTGACAAAAGGGTTTGTATTTTGCCTTCAGTGGATTTCCTCCTCCCACCAAAATGACACACATACAATTGCTGCTAGATGCAATGCAAGAGTGGAGAACAGCAGGTTGTAACATTAAATGACAACAACTTAGACCATCCCCAGAATATTTTAGCCCATTACAAATGGCTGCATTTCATCTTACTCTTGCACCTACATCATTTCCATGATGATTATTTTGCAATCAGTTTCAACATCCATTTACTTTACAGATCTCGTTGCCGTTATTCAGCAGCTATGTTTAAAGTACACATCATTCTGAGTTATGTTGAGACAAGACTTTGACGTCAGAGTGGCCACAATGAGAATTGATGGCAAACACTTTGCGGACTGTCGGTTTTCCTGGGGGCAGTTTAGTGACCCTTTAATCAAACAGCTCAGAGCAAAATTAAAGAATAGAAATAGGTCCCCAAACAATCAGACATCTTGTGTCAAGGCAATATTTTCTAGGATGCCAAGAGAGCCATCTTTTCCTTGATGTCATTCTGCAAATCTGTCTTTTTTTACTACAATTTCCAGAAGGATATCCTTGTTACTTTGGTGCAATAAAAATAGCAAACAATATTGAGTAACTTTTAAGAATAATCAAAACAAGGTGGCATATATATTTTGTGGAACACAATTCATTTTTTCAGACTTGTGATGTGTTGCCCTTTAGGTTACCAATATACACAAACATAGATGGGTGAATATAAACAGTGAGACAACAAATCAAAAGGAAATGAAATGCAGAAAGTATTATAGTGATCATTATTATATTAATAATGTCTATTCACAAACTGTTTTTCATTCATAGCAAATATACTTTTGAACAGATTAACATGTGTTTACTGGATATTTCGCTACATATAGAGGCTTAACATTAGTTATATCTGCATATATGTTTTAGGCCATTGTAGAAGATCCCTATCCAAAATGCTTAGGACCCCACTGCTTGGAATTTTGGATTATGTTATGCCCTCCACAAACTCCAGTATCACCTTTTGTTTCATGGCCCAGCATTATTTATTTATTTATTTATTTATTTACTTCGCTTATATACCGCAATTCTCAGCCTAATGGCGACTCATTGCGGTGAACAACATAGAAAAACAGGTGCAAAATACAAACATAGTGTAAAATAATCCGCAGTACATCATTATCAAAACATCTCATCAAAAACATCAAACATTACTACAAGGCCATTCCGAGTCGTCTCATCGTCAAGTTCACAATCCGATACTATTTCCGTTGTTCCATTCCTATGGTCAAGTTACCAGTCATTGCACTTCTATTCAAATGCCTTCTTAAATAGCCAGGTCTTTAGCTTCCTGCGGAATATCAACAGGGAGGGGGCTAGCCTGATGTCTACGGGAAGGGTGTTCCACAGCCGAGGAGCCACCACCGAGAAGGCCCTATCCCTCATCCCCGCCAGCCGTGCCTGTGACGCAGGCGGGATCGAGAGCAGGGCCTCCCCGGAAGATCTCAAAGTCCTCGTGGGCTCATAGGCCGAGAGGCGGTCAGTTAGGTATCTTGGGCCGGAACCGTTTAGGGCTTTATAGGCCAATGCCAGCACCTTGAATTGAGCCAATTTTATACATTTGGCCTTCCCACTGTTTTTAATTATGTGTTGCTTTTTTGATAATGTTGTGTATTTTTGTCTATGTTTTTTAATTGCTTGTATTGATGTTTATTGCTTGTATTGTTGTTTGGGCTCGGCCTCATGTAAGCCGCACCGAGTCCCTTGGGGAGATGGTAGCGGGGTACAAATAAAGTTAATAATAATAATAATAATAATAATAATAATAATAAAATAATAATAACACAGAGAGACATTGTTTTGGAATATCTGTATTTGTATATAATAATAATAATAATAATAATAATAATAATAATAATAATAAAACATATGTTCAATGGATTTAACTGTGACTTTTTAGTGCTGTTTGTGTTTAATTCTGTTTAATGGTTACATATTTGTATATTTTTGTATATTTGTCATCTATGTGGACAATTTTTAATTTTGAAGTATTTTGGATTTCATAATTCCAGATGCCCAATCTGTATTGAGTAGTAGTATGAGTTGCAATCTTTCCTGTATGCAAAACCAGAAGGAGGCAATGAAGGGGAGGCTCCCTGACCTCAGCTAGTTGCCATTTTGTAGATGGGAAAAAATGAAGAACTATTGCCCTCCCTAGAGATCCTAGATAATTATGGCAATTCCCTTTTCCCAGATGTAAAAACACTGCCAGATTATGCTAAAGAGGTCAACCCCCACCCTCAAGCACTGATTGACCATGGGATGGTCAGAAATCGGAATTACATGTAGATGTTAAGGAGAACTATACTACTACTACTACTACTACTAATAATAATAATAATAATAATAATAATAATAATATCTTTATTTTTATACCCCGCCTCCATCTCCCCGAAAGGACTTGGAGCAGCTCACATGGGGCCAAGTCCAATCAACAAAGTTAAAACGTATCATATAAAAACAAAACAAAAATGTTATGTCATCACAGATCAGAAACCTAGCTGCAACATGATGCTTCTTACTCAGTCCACATGTCCAAACTTTGTGCATTAGATCCAACAACCAACTCATTGGTTAGAATGTGTGGTGAAGACACTGATGAAAGTAACTCTGGACATTATTACATGAAGCCACCATCCCACAGTGCTCATATGACCAATGATCCCAGGTATTTACCAGGATGGTTATCTGTCTTACTGCATGCCTGCATGATGATGCAGCTTCCTGCTGAGAAAATAACTCTGTCCTTCCACAGTCCCATTCCTCAAGTAAATGTTTATAAAAATATTTATGCAAGTTTTGGGAAGATTTTTTAAATCAACAAAACTATTTTAGTGGGTTAGGGAAAAGGAAGAAGCAGATGAACCTGCTCCTGGTGTTACTACTGTGTCAGCATCCTGGGACAGAAGTACATGGACTTTATCATACCAGATAAATGCCAGAGCAGGGTGTGAGTAGGTAAAACCCATCAATCACTGGGGACAGCTTAGTAACAGGAAGATAGCAAACTGGCAATGGGTTTTGTGACAGAGACTATCACCAAAGATGATAGTCCTACTAGTCCTGCTTCTTTGCTAATTGCAATAAAGTTCTTAATTTGTGGGTTCCTCCCACTTACCTCAAAGGCAATCACCCAATGCAATTGTTAGAACAGGGCAGGGAATTTAGAGTCTAGGAGGTGAACAGTGAACCAGATTAGGTCCATATGCAGTAAAATCCTCTCCTACAACTTTGGGGAAATGTGCCTTACAAGGGCCCTATTTGAGTTAAGGTCTTCTTTCATCCCAATAGACTTTTTTTCCAGATGCAGTTTTTGAAAGCAGCAGCTATACAAATGAGAAGTCTCTCCATCCTTCTGTTAGAGGGCACTTTCAAAGCTGTATCTATGTAACTGTGGTACCTAAGAGGGCTTTATAATTGATTATTCACTGAGCATGAGCAGAGGAGTTTGCAAGATTTCAATGTACTCCAGTAACTGCAATCAATCTTCCATGTCCAAAAAACACTCTTGTGCTCACTGGTTTACATATCCTGCCTGTTTGGTTGCTGAAATCTGAAAATTGGTCACAAGCCAACACATGCCATGCACGCACGCACACACACGCACACACATGTCTCTACCTTCCTGAGTCAAAATTATTTACTTCCTAATTTTTGCTGACAATGAAACTGAAATTGGTGTTTTAATCACCATTAT